TATTATTTTACTTTGATTCACCTCAGAAAGTGGTTCTTCTGGCAAAGTCCAAAGTTGACTTCTTCAAGTAAAAGTCATGGAAAGGACTGACAAAACCATTTGAATACTGGTTTCTGATAACTCTGGAGATTATATACCACTGGACTAAAACAAAACAAACTTCCAGGACTTTAACTTTAAGTAAAAAACTATGACCATGAGTATATGACCATGAGTATAGCTAACACAACCTCATGAGACAGCACTAAATTTCATAAAAAGACGCTTTATTTAAAACATTACTAATCTTTTGTTTTTCAGAGTCCTGACAAATTTTAAGTAAATAGCAAGTTTACCTGATCTCTGGGACCTGAGAACCATGGAATCTGCCAAACCCCTGTTCAAATATCCTCCCTCTATGCCCAGGGTATATCTCGGAAGAGGGAGCGTGTCAGATTGTAAGGGCCAATTCTGAGGGATGGAATTAGTTTAGACCCTCCAGATCAAGGGAGGGACACACAAAAGCCTAAAAGAATACTAAATGAAATACTTGGGTCTTTTCAGGCCATATGCTGCAGATATCCAAATCAATAATAAATGGTTTTTTTTCCCTGCTTTCTATAGACTTAGAACTTACTGAGTATAATTTTTATCAGTTATAGAGTTACACAAAAGGAAATATAATGAGCAATTTATCAGCCACCTTAATATAAATTACTAAAGAGACTGAAATGTTGTGACACAATAAAAGTCTCTAAAAGTCCCTTAACTTAAATGTTAATGATGCTTATATTTGCTACAAGTCTACTACTAAACCAAGAATATAGTGCTCGACTTGTAGGTAAATTAGCTTTATAGCTTGCTTTTGATATTTTGCATTTACTCTTATGTCATCTAAAGATTTAGAGTATTAATGAGTCCGTCTATGCCTGTCTACCTCCGGTCCTGTTTGGCTTATTTAACTGGCTGTAAGCCCCAGTTTGGCTCTTCAGTCCTCTTGGTCAAAAGGGTCCCACCAAGGGACTAGATGAATCCAGGGCAGGTAGCCACACCACCCTGGCAACGGATGGGACAAAATGAAAGTTTGGCCATAGATGCTGCCTCTGACAGATCTTGGCCAAAAGGGGGGCGGAGGGGAAATTGTGAACTAAAGTAAAATTTTAAGGCTCAACCCCACCACCACCCCCAACCCCACCGGCTAAATGGACCCCCTCGTGGCCAGAGCAATATCCTAAAACTAAATTGTCTGTCAGGAGGAGGGAGGTCAGACATGCCTCATCATAGCCCCCTTCCTTCTTGGGGACATGCTTTGTAACTGACCCATCAACAGGCCTAAGGGTATGCAAGACAAACCTGCAGGTCCTCAATTCACACAACAAATCTACCTCCACTGGTTTATCTCTGGTAACAGCCCCTTATGTTAAAACATTCCAAGCCTTTATTACACAAAGCTTCATGTCTTTAACCAATTACAAGCCAAAAAATCTTCAAACCCACCTATGACCTATAAGCTCCCCGCTTGGAGATGTCCCACCTTTTTGGGCCAAAGCAATGTATGCCTCCCACGTATTGATTTATGACTTTACCCTGTAACCCCTGTCTCCCTGAAATGTATAAAACCAAACTGTAACCTAACCACATCGAGTCCACTGCTCAAGACTTCTTGGGCGTGGCTCCGGGTCACCAAGCGATCTGTCTCAGAATAAATCTCTTCAAAATTATTTTACAGAGGTTGGCTTTTTTCCCGTTGACACTATCCCCCAGTATTTCATCCTTATCCACTGTTGAGGGTGCCACCCTACATCAGCCAGACCCCCACCACCCCCAGCCTCTCAGAATTTTGCTCTTTCAGGTTTGAAAGAAAAAGAAAGTCACGTTTTATTAGTTATTTTCTGTTGAAGAAAACTAGACAGATCCTGATTCCTCAAAGGATTCTATCCATCTGTCTGCGGGCCCCCAACATGAATGACAGTACTCACTCACGGTAATGATACCACAAAACTTCTCATGTTCTCCACATTGTGATGGGTTCTTGCAGGCGAAGTCGTTCTCTTCCTCACAAACGTGGCACTGCAGCCGTGCCGCTATGAGGAAGAAGAAAAGAAGGTAGGACCTCAGCGGCTCCCATCGTTCCCACCCGGTTTCACCTGAGTTCTGTCTTTGCTCCTGGGGGTTTCCTCCTCCACCCACACTCTCTCTCTCTCTCTCAGGCGCCTGCACCCACGCACACAACATGCACGCACACCCCAAAACACGCACCTCTGCGCCCAGACACGCAGTGACATACCCACATCCACCGCAACCACAGCTGCCCAGGGAAGATGCGTTCCACGGAAGAGACCCCTGGGTTCGGTGCCCGCTCCCAGGTGCCTAGTCACCCCCTTCCTGGCCCACCCTCCTTGTCCCCAGGCCCTGCTCCGCAGGAAGTAGGCTCTCTTGGGTCGGGGCCACACTAGCTCTGGGGAAGAAGGGGCTAGTCCCCGGCAGCTCTTCCGGTTGGGGCTCAGGCAGCACTGGAAGGCCCAAGAGACCAGGCCAGCCTTCGCTTCCAGCCTGACCGCTCCCGGGATGTGGCGCTGCTGAGGATAGAGGGGTCTGGGCCCAGACTGGAGCAACCCCGAATGAAAAGGCCCCCGTGATGCACCCAGGCTCTGTGGGCCCCTGGGCTCTGTGCCCCCAGACGCCCGAGCACGCCCCGCCTTGCTCTGCCCTGGCAACCCGGTTACTCCCCAGCCCAGGGCGCAGGGACTAACCTTGTCTGGCAGTGCTGTTGGTTTCTGCCTGCACCAGAGGCAGGCCCAAGACCAGGAGCAAGGGTAGCAGGGCCATCTCTTCAGTGGGCGCCAAGCCCTGGGCGGGACAGGAGGCCGGCCTCACATGAGCGCTGCGGTCCCCCACCCGAGACGCCTCACCCCGGGAGCCCCTCATCCCCCACACCGGACCTCCCCTCATCCCGCACCCCGGGCCTCCCCTCAACCCCGCACCCCAGGACCCCTGACCCCACAGTCCCTATCCCGGGTGCCCCCAACGGCGGCCCCCTCACCCTTCACCCCGGGACCCTGAGCCCCCAGCCCCCACCTGGGCCCACCCCACACTCCAGATCTCCAATCCCCATTCTGGGCCTCCCCACCCCTGTCCTGTCTCACCCTACAGCCTCTGTCTCCGTCCCCCGACCCCCTCTCCTTTAATCCGCCCCCCCTGTCCCCAGGGCCAGCCTGAATCTCCCGCCTTGGGGTGCCCACCGGCCTCAGCAGAGATCCTAGCGTCCCAGGGCCCGTCCTGGCTCCCCACACTGCCACCTCGTGGGTGCTACCCTGGCTCCTTCTAGAACCTTCCCCCAGTTCTCTGTTCCTCAGAGCGAGTGGCTTGATTCCCTGCGGCCCGGCAGGGGGCGGCGGAGGACTGGGGCCGCAGGGCGGCGGGGTCTGGGGGCGCAGGTCCTTGCCAGCCTGCCTGCGCCTCCCAAACTTGCTCCCTGCCCGCAGGACGCGCCCGCCCGGGCCTCTGTGTCTACACGGGCCACCAACCGTCCCCCGCCGCCCCCTCAGCCGCCCACGCCCGGGCAGGGGTCGGTCTGATGGCTTCCGGGTGCAGAGAGCGAGGGGAGGGTGCGGTGTGAGGAGCCCGCCGTCCCCACCGCTCAGGGAGCTCTCCCAGATTGTGACACAGCCCATCTGGATGTATGTTCAGATTTTCTCTTTTCTGTGACACCAGAGGACTTTCCGCGTGTACCGTCCTCCACCTTGCGTTACCCCCACCGCCCTCTCAGGAGATGGTCCCTGTTAACACCTGCAGAGCTTTCACATTCATTTCTAATTTTTTTAATGGTTGCATTGTATTCCGTGGCCTGGATGTACTATCCTTTGTTGAAATGTCCTCCTTTAGTGAACGTTTGTGTTGTTCACAGTGTTTTTATATTTTACATGTCAAAATCAAAATAAAATATAGGGATGAATCTTAAAATTTTGGCTGGGGGAGAAACAAGTGCAATCTGGGGCATGGGCACAGAACAGGGTAGTCTTCGGTGTGCCCAAGGAACAAAGAGAAGGTTGGGGGTTTTATGAGAGAAATGTTGCATGTTGATGGAAAGAAGGCTCATGGGCACTATGCAGGGTCCCGGAGGAGGCCAGCTCAGCTTGGTGAGTGACAGCGGTGGGTAAAACCGGCCTTAGGGTTACAGCAGCTGTTTCAGCAGGCTGGGTTGCAAATAATTCTTGGAGTACATGCGCTGTGCCTGAGTGCTTTTCCCCAGTCCCTTGACTCTGAATAATCCAGTTTGGGAAATCAACTTTCACAGACACAACACTGCAATTGTCCATAATGTCATCCCTCACACATACAGCTCTGCCAGAAGGGAAACTTTCCAGAACTGAGATTGAAAGTCAGAGGTTAGATGTATTTGCAGCCCAGGTGCTCCGTCTCCCTAGGACAATTTTATCCTCTCCTAACTGGGAAGTGAGTGCCTGTTTCCATGGCACTGTGGAAAAGTATTCTTATTCAACCTTTCGATTTTCACTAGTCTGATACATGCAAATCATGTCTTGGTAGATTTTAAATTTGCATTCTTTCATTAAGAGTGAGGTTGAGCAGGTTTTTATATTTCTAGTGGATACTTGTATTCCTTTCTCTGTGATCTCTCTACCGATGTCTATTGTCCATTTTCCTGGTGATCTCCTTTTGTATGGTGAGATGAGTCTTTGCCAGTGATAACATTTCCAAAAAAGCCTTTTTCCCATTTCATATCAGTCTTGGTATTTTTGCCAAGCAAGTGTCTGCTTTTAACCATGTGTCTTAGGCTGTTGGGGCTGCTAGAACAAAATTCCTGTGGCTGGATCATTTACAAACAGCAGAAATGTATCTCTCACAGTTGTGGAGCCTGGAAGTGCAGGATCAGGTGCCGGCAGGTTTGGTGTCCTGTGAGGGTCTGTTCCTCATAGATGGCACCATCTAGCTGTCCTCACGTGGTGAAGGGACAGAAGAACCAAAATCACTCCCCCAAGCCCTTTATAAAGACACGAGTCCATGATCCACCTGGAGATTGTCCAGCAAAGGTATATATTTTTTTTCCTGATGCCTATTCAGTTATCTCAACACGATTTGTTGTAACTTTCATCCTACCTGCGGTTGATTTGAGATGTCTCCATCATATGCACGCGGACTCTTTGTGGATTGGTTGTGTTCTTTCCGTTGTTTTGTCTGTCGATTCATGACTAACACCGTTGTTTCAATGACCACGTCTGTAGAGCATACGTTTTAATGTGTGGTGGGCCCTCATCGTGCTTTTGAGAATGACTCTTGCTTCATCCTTTTTCAGTTTGTCCGGTTAGGAAGTAGAAAGTCACAAGAGAACATCTCTCCCACCCTAACAGCAACAATGACGAGAGAAAGCTGGCTGACCTACAAAAGCATAACCTACAAACGCATAACCTCTCAGCCCACCAGGAAGCTGAGGGTGCAAGGCAGCCAGGTGAACAGAACTCCAGCGTGGCCCTCGCTTCCTTGAGAGATGTGGCCCTGAAGCTATTGCCCGGGCAGACCAGAGGAGCAGGCAATGGATGCTGTGGAAAGTGGATCTGAGGAGACCGCACAAGCTAGAACTGTAACAAGCTCTCAGAGATCAGATGGAGATGAGCATGAAAGTGTAGAAACCTTGGGAGCCCTGGACACAAAGAGAATGGAAACGTCCCGTGGAGCTCTCTAAGCAGGTGTCCAGCAGGTGGTCACATGCAAGCTTGGGGATGAGGAGGTGGTGTGTGAGGGAGGTAGAGAGAGAGTGAGGACACTACTTCCAAAAAAATCAGCAGTTTGCAAATGGATAATTTCACTTTAAGAGGGGACGAGACGATGTTGAAAATGAAGCCTGCAGCAACAGACCATCCGCATCAATCTTTGAAGAAAGAATTAATGTTGCTTGTGCCCTTCACTGCAAGGTGAGGCAGTGAAAGAAACCCCCATTTAAGGCCTGGCACCGCCTTTCAATCTTCCCTTCGAAAGATGCTTCCTCTACATCTACTTTGGGGTGCCCTGGAGAGGATAGCAGGGTTCCTGATGCCCTGGGAACGGCCCCCTGGGAATGCAAATGCCGGTGACCAGTTTCTGCTTCTTATTTGTGCGTTTCTGTCTGTGTCTCCTCACGTCTTCAGGTGGTTGCTGTGTCATTTTGTGCATAGATACTCGTAACTGTCACGACTTCATTGTGAATTGTGGTTTTCAGCAATACAAGTGTTCTTTAGTCCACATTTGGTCTTTGATATCAGGTACTTCTTTTTACACCCTTTTATTTAGGTGTGTCTCTTCTTCACTTTATGTAGTGTGTTCTTGCTGACGAACTCCATGTAAGTCTTTTTTGTTTAAGGCTCAAGCCATTCACACCTATCGGTGATTGTGTTTGGCTTCATTTCTCTGATAGACGCTTTCCATATTGCGATTACTAAACCTGTCGTAGTCCGTTTGCACGGCTGTGAAGGAACGCCGGAGCCGGGTAATGTATAAATGCAAGAGGTTTATTTGGCTCTCAGTCCTCAGGGCTGTGCAGCAAGCAGGACAGCAGCACCTGCTTCCGCGGAGGGATACGGGGGACTTGCTCTCGTGGCGGAAGGTGCAGGGCAGCCCGTGTGTGCGCACAGAGACCACAGGGAAAGAGAGAAGCCAGAGAGAAGGAGGTTTCAGGGGCTGACTCCGCAGGTAACCTGGGTCGGTTCCTGACAGAAGGGGCTTCCTGGGACCCCTGAAGAGAGGGGGCTGAGGGAGTGGGGGAGGTAGGGTCCCCCAGGCGAGGGGGCTGAGGGACAGGGTGGGGCCAAGGTCCCCAGGGGAGCCCTCAGAGGCTGCAGGGTGTGGGTGGAACCGACAGGCGTCCTGAGGAGCAGAGGCTTTCCATTCCTCCTGCTTCCAGGGCCCTGGGCTTCTAGAACATTCCCCAGCACTCCTGAGAGGTGTGCGGACCTAGCCAGGGCAGCAGGGATTTCCTCGAGAGGCATTTTCCCTTCAGGGTCCCCGAGGGGACCCCGCCAGCCTTGGAGAGCCCGTGGGGGAGGGCGCTTCGTGCTTGGCGGGGTGGGGTAGAGCGCTGCTGTGGAAGGTTCCAGAAAGGGGGCAGGTCGCAGCCAGGGCGGCTCAGAAGCTCTAGGCGCGGCCATCACACAGCGGAATGGACCAGGATCCAGGTCAGCTTCTGGGGCAGCGTCCCTCAGGGCGGGGCTGGGGTTTGCCTTTTCCCTCACCACTGCCTGGGGTCCGGGGTCCCCCCACTGCCCTTGGAACACCGCTTCCCCGAGGGTCCCGGGTCCCCCACTCCCCTTGGAATGCCGCTCCCTTCGGAGCCCTAGGCTAGCCCCATACCCGCCTAGTCCAAACCGGCTTTGTCCTCCTAGCCTGGAGTCCTAGCAGCTCCCCTAACCCCTTCCACCTTCTGCTCTTTATTATTCTTTTCGGGCTATTTGCATAGGGCGTGATTTGCTGTCCTCTTCTTACTGTTAGGAAATAGAAAACTAGACATTGGTTTCCAACCGTTCTTCCTTTTCTAATGGACGCTTTCGGGACTCTACTTTTCCCTCAGGTCGCTACTTATGTGGCGTTTAGCGTTTGCATATGTCTTTTTTAATTATCACTTTGTCCAAAATGTTTGTTTATTTCTATTGGGAATGATTTGGGGGCTCATTTATTGTTTGGAAGTGCTCTTACTTTTCAAACGTGAGGATTTTCTAGTTATCTTTCTGTGAGTGACTTTTTTGCTTAATGCCACTATCGTCGGAAAATGTCCTTTGAGTTTCAAGAATACTTTTGGTCCTGAAATGTCCATCCCTCCTCATCTCTTGCAATACTTTCCCCCTAGAAGTCTGCGCTCCCTGTCGCTACCGTAACGGTTTCCACCTTGCAGAGCCTCCCCTGCTTTGGGCTATTGTGGTATGTTTTATTTCTAAGTATGTTATCAACTCAACAGTTCTTGTAGTGGGTCTGGTCTCCTGGTAACAACATATCCCAGCTGTTGTCTGAAGTCATCTTCATTTTGCCTTCATTTGTGAAGAGTCTTTTCACATCTGTGGACTAGAGTGCTTGGTATTGCTTCCTCCTTCACCAGTTTGAAGCTATTGTTCTCTTGGTTTTTGTTTTTCACAGGTTCTCTTGAAAGATGACCACCATTTGGACGGTTGCTATTTAAAACATTGTCTTTTTTCCACTCTGGCTGCTGTTAAGATTTTTCACTTTTCTTCAGTCGTGCCACTGTGGTGTGTCTAAGATTGGTTTTTCTTGCATGATTCTGCCTTGGAACTGCTGAACTTTTTAAATTTTGGGGTTGATAACCTTTCATTCATATTGGAAAGTTTCTATCTCAATAACTCTTCCAATATTTCCTCTCTTCATTTCTCTGCCCTATCCTTGTGGGACTCCAATTACACGTGTGCTACACATTGGACTGCCTTCTATTTATTCATCTTCTTTTCCTGTTTTTCTTCATTCTCTTCTCTTTATCTTTGTGGGTATCAGTTTGTATATATTTTATAGAACTATCTTTGTATTTTTTAATTTCCTCTTTTACTGAGTCTGGTTGGCTGTTAATGCCATCCAGTGAATTTTTAAATTTCTAATATTTTGTTTTTCTGTTCTAGAATGTTTGTTTGATTCTCTCTATAGAGTTTGTTTCTCTATTGGTAGTTTTCATCTTTTAAAAATTGATACTATCTTTCCTCTTTGATATTTTTGTTATAATTATTTTACAGTGTGCGTATACTAACACCAGCATTTTGACGGACTGTCGTTTACTTCTTCTTCTGTTTTATTGATTAGCATTCTTTGATATTATGAAAGATATATTTGGTTGTTTTCCCCCGTGCCTGGCACAGAGCTCCTAAAACATTTGTAATTTCCTGAGTGATAGGGGTGATAGGAGCATTTTTTTGGGTCATAATATTTGCTCTTAGTACAGTTGGCCCTCAGTATCTGCAGCTTCTGCATTCAATGATTCAACCGACTGCAGACTGAAAACACTTGAAAAAAACAAAAATTAAAAAAAAACAATATGGTAAAAAAAATTAAAAAACTAATAATGTGACAACTGTGAAGATAGCATTTAATTGTATTAGGTATAAATAACGTAGAGGTGATTTAAAGTATATAGAGCGGTATGCATAGGACATGCAAATACTGTGCCATTCTATATAAGGCACAAGAGGATCCTTGAATTTTGCTATCCTGTGGAGGAGGCTTTCCTGGAATCAGTTCCCCTCAGATACTGAGGGAGGACTGTGTCTCCTTACTGAGACAAGAGCTTGGGACCCTTGGGATCTGAGGAGTGGAAGAGTGTCTTTTGCAGGCTAATGAGATAACTGTGGCTGATCATTGGAAAGATGAAGGCAGCAGTCCCCCTCCCGAGCCTCAGGGGACCATGAGGGGGCTCAAGATTGAGGCAGTCACCAGTTGCCAATGGTTTAAACAATCACACCTACACAGTGGAACCTCCAGAAGACCCATAAGCTGTGAGGTTCAGAGAGCTTTCTAATGGGTGAACACATGGAGATGTGGGGAGAGTGGTGCCCAGAGATGGTGTGGAGGCTTGAACTCCTCTGTCCGTAGCCTGCCCTGTGCATCTCTTCCATTTGACTGTTTCTGAGTTGCATCCTTTATAGTAAGTACACTGGTAGTAGTAAGTAAAATCTTTGACTATGTTCTGTGAGCGGTTGCAGCAAATTCAGAGGAGGAGGTCTTGGGAACCCCTGACTTAGCGCTGGTCAGTCAGAAGTGCAGGTGGCCCAGAGTGAGGATTGCTATCTGACGTGAGAGCAGTCTGTGGCACTGAGCTCTCTACCTGGAAGTTCTGCCCGAACTCCAAGTGGGGCGTCAGATTGTGTTGAATTGTTGGATCCTCGCTTGGTGTCCGGACGGTTGGAGAATTGGTTTATGTGGAAAAACCCCCACATTTGGTGTCAGAAGTATGGTGTTAGAGAAATCGTCTATGGTATAGTCCCCTATTGCTATGTCTTATAATCCTGTGTTTTTTTGTTTCATCTTTTAGAACAAATCAATTTAGTTAGCTTTCTCTTTCTCTTTACTATTCTCAGTGTAATTTTTTAAAGCACTTGTATGCTAATGTCAATATTTGAGTGAACTGTGAGTTTATTTCCATTGCCGTTCCATTGATTAGCAGTGACCTATCCGTAGCTCTTCCATGCCCCGTGGTATTGTGTATGAAATAGCTGCACAGCTTGTAGTTGGCTGTATGTGACAACCCAGCATAAGTGACAGAGGCAGCGAGTATCTCAATCAGTAGAGATTTATTGAGCCCAAGTTTGAGGATGCACCAGGGAAAACGCAAACCACAGATGAATCTGACTCTTTTTCTGAAGTGGGGTTTGGGAGCTGTGTTCCTAACCACTTCGGTGCTGCTGCTGCGCTCACCGGCCTCGAAACCTTGCCCACAGTCGGCACTCACAGTCTGCACGATACTTTGTGCTGTGCATTGACGACGAATCCGCTTTGCCCTTGTGTGATGAAGAAAGCTTTAAGGCACTGAAAGCTTGTTTTACTTTACAGCAGCTTTACTTGAATATAAATCAGAATAGGTAACATATACATACATGTTTTTATTACGTTATTTTTAAATGTTCACAATTTAATTTGATAGATGAAAAATTAGAAAAGTCATATCACGGCTGTCGGCTAAAGTCGACGCTCGGCTGTGCGCCTTCATATCAAGGCTGTCGGCTAAAGTCCCTGTGCGCGTTCATCTGTGTCTGTCGACTTTAGTTGACTCTGGGCTGCACGGGTTCATCTGTGGCTATCGACTGTAGTCAACGCTGGTACCGGAGTGGTTAAAAGGGATAGGGCATACAAAAGGGAAAAAGAGGAGGGGTGGGCTGTGAGATGGATGCTTACGTTCTTAGGAGGCCCCAGGAAGTCTGCATTTTACATGAGATAAAGCAAATGTTAGAGGCAATATGGAGTGAAGGAAGCCTCAATTATGTCTATGTCTCTGGGTAGGTGGAAGAATGTTTGATCTTGTCTCTGCTCTGCACCTGGGAAGATAAACTTGTAACCCAATTATTAGTGTGGAATTGAACAGACCTTAGTTTTAGGAGGTGGACTCAGCCTGCAGATGCACAGTTACAGCTTGCACGTCCTTGTTCGTGGGAGGCCAGCGAGGAATTTCCTTATGGATGATCTGTGGGGCAAGCCTTGCAGACACGTCAGGCCTTTTCCCTTCCCCTGGGGCCCTGGTTGGTGGGCGACGTTAGGAACAGTCTTCGTGTGGAAGGAGGTGCTGTGTGGCAGGGCCTCCAGGTTCGACCTTCCCTTTTGCATGAGGAGTTGGGGGTGGTCCTGAGATTTTGTTTTCCTTTACGTATGTTACTTCTGGGGCCATCTGCTCTCTCGTCTCTCAGGGAGACTGTGGGAAGGCCTAGTCCATGGGTCTTCTCAGGAACCGAGCCTGGTTGGGATGGTTGCAGCTAACCAGACCCATGCCACCTCTGCAGCCAGCTCTTGTCCCTACTCCTAACTGAAACAGATGTGAGCTATGGTCTTTTGCTTTTAGCCCAGCCAGCTGCCACTTGTGCAGAGGTTTGAGGAGGAGGGCTGCCTTGCTTTTGGTTCAGTTCATGCGCTTTTGTCTCCTAGCTGTGTGCGGTCAGGGAGAATTGGCTTGACCCAAGCGTTTGCTAAAACATGTGGCTTGTCTCTGAATCCTCAGCACCGACAGTTTTTCCTTCGTAGGCTTTGACCTTCTCTCTTGAACTTCACCTCACACACCTGTTCCACCTGGGCCACTGGCTGATGGCAGAGACCAGTGGTGTGATTGTGGCGGGCTTCCTCCAGGAGCACTTTGTCTCCTAGGATCTACCACACTCCAGGGATTGTACTTGGCCTTGTCTGGCCTCCCAGGTTTCCTCCCACCTCAGCCCTCGGAGGCTCTCCCATGGGAAAGCCTGCTTGGTCTTTAGGGTTCCTGGGGACTTCAGGCCACTTCTGCCCCCTGTGAGCAAAGAGAGTACTCCAGTGTGTGTTCCCTCCTGGAGACCCTGTCCGTGGCCACACTGGCTTTCAGCCGGCACCCAAAGTGACAAATGTATCAGCAATGACAGCCGCTCACTCTGAAGGGCCTGCCCTCTTTGGTACCCTGGCGGGAGGTGGGCATTCCCAGGCCCACAGTGCTGGTTCAGGACTCAGGTGCGAGGTGCCCTGGACCCTCCCATTGCCAGTAACTAATGGATGTCTCTGTGGTGTCCGAGTCCAAGGAATACTTGATTCCAGGGGGGATTCTTTCCTAAGGACATTTCCTAAGCCAGATTCAGATTTGGCTTCTGGGATGTTCTGTACTTGTTCCCCTTCTCCAGTCACCTCACCCCTCGTGTTCTGGAGTTGCTTGTAAGAAGAGGAAATACCTCAGCAGGCAATATTAAAGAATGTTTCATGAGCTGGTTTTGAGGTCCAGAGTCAACCAGTGGATACAGAGGAATATTTGGGGCATGGGGACCCAGGGTGAGCTGCCATGTGAAGCAGCACCAGGACCTCCTTGACTGGAGAGGTGACATGAGTGTGTGTAAGATGAAGGCATGAGCAAGGCAAGGCCTTTGTGTGTGGGTAAGACCTACCCAACCCCAGTCCCTGGCCGGAGGAGCTGCCTGCCCAGTGGGGAAGGCGTTCAGGTGGGCGGGGGGAGTGAACCGGGCCTTTGATGCTGGCAGCAGGAAGCTGGTGCACAGAGGCGAGCCCTGGCTGACGTGGCCTGACGTGGCATCTGTTCTTCCTCACCTTCAGGCCAAGCCCTGCAGGAAATGATGCTTCCCTTTGCCTTCATTCTTGCCATGGGGCTCCCATTGGTCGGAACAAACGTCACCATCTCTTATCAGGCACGTTGTAAGTATCATTCCTTCTCACTGTCTTGAGGGGTCAGGATTCACCCAGACTTGACAGGGGTCTTTGGGAAGGTTGACTAGAATTTGGGTCATCTCAACTGCCTGGGGTCTGCATTGTCAGTGTAATTGTGAGTGAGCACTGGTCAATTTGGGAAGTGTTCAGGATCGAGGGAAGGGCTAGGAGGCAGGAAGACTTCCCCAGTTGAGTAGCTAAGTGACCAGGAGACCTGAGAGGGCCTCTCGAGTGACACTTCTCCGTCAAGCCAGGCAGGCGGGGATGTGTCCAGGGAAATCCAGGAGGATGCTGGCTTTCCTTGGTGAGGTGAGACTGGTCTGCAGAGCACAGCAGTCCCACATCTGGCTGCCAGGGTGCTCCCTCAGATCTGTCCCTGGAGCAGGAAGAGCTCCTGTGTGTACCTGCTTCTCTCACGGGAGCTGGTGTTGTCCATACCCAGACGGCACGGACAGCTGAGCTGTGAAGCGTAAGGAAATCCTTGGAGGCGGTGGGGAGGGGCTGGCTGTTGGAGGAGGGTGGAGTGGACTGGTAATGGGTGGAGAAGGCCTGATGCCTCTTTTTCCTTTCTCAGGGACCTATAAATTGAAATGCTTCGACTGTGAGATCATCAACAACTTCAACTGTGCACGTGTAAGGGAATGTCCGTATGACATTAGGCGCTGTATGACCATTTCCGTTCGTAAGTAACTCTTTGTCATTTTGACACCTTATGGATTAGTCTCCTACCGGAGCAGTTTCTAGGGGAAGGGCTGGTCTGCTTTTGTCTACACCCAGCCCTGTTACGCTTCCCTGGCCTGAGAGCATGCCCACAGGCACTAGGCTAGGCCCTTGCTCAGGCCATATGCATCACATTCTGTGAGATGGGGCAGTCAGTCCACACATCTGTGGTGTCTCTGAGGGTATGAGCACTGCAGGACTTCAAAGTCTCTGACTCTTGTACGTCCCAGGTTGTATGTGTAGACACCCCAGTAGGCCTGGGTGTCCTTCATTGCCCATTTGTTTTCCGGTCGTCTGAGAGGAGGCTTCAAGCTAGGCAGATCCAAGCACTGGCCCCACCATGGACTCCTCAGGGCAGTGCCTACCACACACAGAAGGGAAGCCCAAGCATGCAGTCAGTGTAGAGCCTGAGCATCCAAGATGCTTTGTCTTCTTACCCAGAGGCCTCTAGTGCTCTGAGAAAGGTGTGGCTCTCCCCAGGGCCCTACCTGAGAAAGATGTATGGTCAGAGGCCCAGTGACCGATCAAGCAACAGGGAAGGTGCAGCTCCCTAGCCCCTGCTGTACCCAGTGTCTGTGATTGTGGTTGCTGCTTCACATGTCATTGTGTGTTCTAAGCTCTGTGCAAAAACTTCCTCTGATGGCCACTGCGTTGTACCAACTGCCACTACTGTGTGGGCATCTGCTGATTTGGGACATGGGTAGGAAGCTGAGATCTGGGCTTTGTCCATGCAGTGCGCCACCTCTGGGAAATTTCAGTGGGTTGTATGCTGTCATTTTGGGTTTACTGCTCCTGAATGAGGCAGGGAACTGTTTTTTCAAGAATCTCCATCCCTGTGTGGCTCTGGAGTGTTGTTGGCAAAGAAGAGAACTAGACTGAGATGTGCAAGGTTGAGGTGAAGCACAGACCATTTCTTTGGAAGGTCAAGGTCTTTCACACCATGATGGACACCAGTGAACCCCAGCATGTCCTCACTCTTTCGCTCGTTCACGTTCATCCCCTCTTCTCCACTGTGGGTCTTTTCACCAACAGCAATTTGTAGGCCCCAATAGGTGCCTGGCCACTGGCTCACAAAGATGACAGGTGCTCCAGGGGAGCAGTTTAAACATCTCTGCAAGAGACCCCTTTGTATTTTGCTTACCGGGGAGGACAGAGGTGCATGGCTTTTGAATGGTTTTTGATAATTTCCTCAAAAGTTGTACTTTTCCACCATGCCTCAGCTTCAAGGGGACCTGGTTCTGGGCTGTTCCTTTTCAGCCTCCCCAACTCACATCCCTTTCTTGGCTCCTCCCATGGGCATGGAATCTATAAGATCTATATTTCATAAATTGTGGGACTCTGTTTTCGTGGACAAACCCTGATGGATACTAGGACAAAGAATTTATACGAGCCTTTGGCAGAGATTTAGGAATGCTAGAATGCATTTGGACATTTTCCCCTTTGGGATATTTGCTGAGTTCTGGGGCTGTGCAGGATGGTAATCAAAAGACCTCTATGAAAATCTTTTGAATGTCAGCAACTGAGAACTTCCATCCATAGCCTATATCAACTAGATGTTGTTGGAAGGACGGACACAAGATCTAGGGAATAGAATAGAGAACCAAGAAACAGCCCCAGATGAATATGCCCAACTGATTTTTTTTTTTATTGAGATTGAGTCTTGCTCTGTTGCCCAGGTGGGAGTGCAAGGACATCGTCACAGCTCACTTCAACCTCACACTCTTGGGCTCAGGCGAGCCTCCTGCCTCAGCCTCCTGAGTAGATGAGACTACAGGTGCATGACGCCATGCCTGGCTAATTTTTTTCCATTTTCAGTGGAGACAGTGTATTGTACTTGCTCAGCCTGGTCTGGAACTCCTGAGCTCAGGCAGTCCTCCTGCCTTGGCATTCCAGAGTGCTAGCATTTCACAGGCCACCGCACCTAGCCCCCATCTGACTTCGGACAAAGGTGCAAACACCATCAATGGAGGAAGGCTCACTTCTTCATCATTCATTCATAAAGGAACCTGCACGATAACCTTACATGAAAATTAACTCAAAATGGACCGTGAGCTTAAATGTGCATGGTCAAAGTCTAAATCTTATAGGAAAAAAACACATAAGAGGAAATCTTCAGCATCTGCAGAGAAGCAGAGAATCTTGGACTTGGCACCAAAGCATTACCCATCAGAGCCATCTTGTGACATGGGGTTCAGCCAATTAAAAATCTGTTGTTCTGTGAGTGACCCTGTTAAGAGGATGAAAAGACAAAATACAACCTGGGAGAAAATGTCTGTAAACCACACATCCAACAAAGAACAAGTATCTTGAACACATGAAGAAATCTCAAAGTTCAACGGTCAAACGCAACCAGTCTCATTAGAAAGTAGGCAAAAGGCATAAGAAGACATTTCATCAAAGTGGATTCACAGATGGCACATGAGCTCGTGAATAAATTCTAAACATCTTTAGCCATTAGGGAAGTGCATAAAAAACCTCAGTTAGATGGCCCTAATCAGAATGACCAAAGTAAATAATGGTGACAATACCAAATGCTGGTGAAAATGCAAGGAAACCACACCGTTGATAGACTCCTGATAGGACTGTAAAATGATGTAGCCACTATAGCAAACAGTGCGGCAGTTTCTTTAAAAACTAAAAATCAACCACCATACATCCCCAAAATGGCACTCCTGGGCATCTTTTTCCACAGAACTAAAAACTTGTGTTCACAAAAAACATGTACACGGGTGTTCACAATGGCTTCGCTTATTAATATCCCCAAACTGGAAACATTCTAGATACCCTTCAGTGGGTACAGGGTTCAGCAAACCCCAGAGTGTGTCCACACCATGCCATGCTGCTCAGCACAAGATAGGAAGACACTATTGATACACATAACTTAAATGAATATTCAGGGGTTTCTACTGAGTAAAAAAAAGCAATCTCTAGAGGTTACATACCATATGGTTCCATTCATGCAACGTTCTAGCAATGACAAAGTTATAAAAACAAACACCAGCTTAGTTTGCAGAGGAACAAGGAGATGAGCTGGGTGGGAAAAGTGTATCCGAGTGAGAGATTCTTGTGATAACACGGTTGTGTGTTCTGTTTTCCGTGACAGTACTTTCCTTGTTGTAGGTACTGTAGTTTTGCAAGCTGTTATCCCTGGGAGCAACTGAGTAAAGTGTACACGGGATCTATCTTGTGTTTTTTCGTGCAGCTGCATTTGCATAAAGAATTATCTTGAAATAAAATATTTAATGAAAAAGAAGTTAAGAAACTTAACACACCACTAACTACATTAAACATTAAAATGGTTATATTTAGCAGCCTGGGACTTTGAGAGTAGAGAAAACAATAAATAGCATTTTCTTTTTACTGGAGATATACTTAAAATCAGAACACAGAAAGTCGAAAAATAAAATATAGAAAACGGTATACATAGGTAACATTGTCTAAAGAAAACTTATACATGCACTCAGGCAAAGTAAACTGCCTGGCAAGAGCACTACTTATGTGAAAAGCAATATTTTATGGAGATGAAGGGAACTACCAGGAAGATGTCTGGATCTAAATCTGTACCAAATAATGCAGGATGAAAATATATACAGAAAAAAAGTGACAGAAAATATAGGCAAATGCACAATGATATAGTTGTCATCAACACACCTCTCTTCATAGCTTCTGAATGCTTTCACCAGGAGACAGCACCTGCTATGGCTATAGTGCAGGGGTCAGTGAACTCTTTCTGTAAAGGGCCAGATACTGAATGGTTTTGGCTTTTTAGACAATCTGGTCTCTGTGGAAACTACCTTGCTTTGCCTTTGTATGGGTGGGGCCAGAAATGATAAGTAAACATTATCATTGCAGTGTTCCAACAAAGGTTTATTTACAGACACAGTTGGTGGGATGGATTTGTCCCCTGGGCTCTTGTTTGCCAACCTCTTTTATAGAAGGTCTGATATTTCATTAGCAAATGAAATACCCATATGTATACCGTCAGAGCCAGGAATGAGCAAGTAGACATCTTTACAAGAGTACGCATGACGCTTATGATATTGACATTTACAAAATTAATGACATGACATAACACAAGCATTAGCAAAGTTCAAATGACTGGAACTATTTAGAGTTCCTTCTCTGTGACAGTGAAATTTAGCTAGAAATCATCGTGAACTAGGAAACTCCCAACCTCATGGAAATTAAACAGAGTGTTTCTAGATAAAACCAATCACAGAAAGAGAAGTGACCACAGAGATGAGGAAATACTAAGGTCTGAATGATGATGAAGACATGACATGTCAAATGAGTGGAAAGTGGCTGAAGAAGAGATTCAGAGCAAAATCTCTACCGGCACAGTCAGATGGCAGAGGGAACAAAGGCTGGAAACATCTGAGCTTCCATTGAAGAAGCTGGAAAAAGAAAGAAAAGTTTCCCCAAAGCAATGAGGAAGGAAATATAAAGAGGACTGAAGAAATCCTTGAAGTCGAAAATAATATATATAAAATCAACAAAGCCAATAGGTGGTTCTTGGAAAGATTCATAGTATTTGTAAAACTTAGTGAGAAGAATCAAAGGCAGAAAAATAAAATTCACATTTCCAATATCAGGAATAAAACAGTAGGCATCATCAGATCTTACAAAGAAAATAAGAGGCTATCATGAATAGACCGTGTGTGATAATTTGAGATTCTTAATGAAATGAACAAAACTTGAAAAACAACCCTATCTGACCCACAGTGAAATTGTAATGCTGATGTGTCCTGTTAATGAAATGCAATCCTTTATGAAAAACCCACCCACCAAGTAACCTGGCCTGGATTGCTTCACTGGCAAATTCTTCCAAATATTTATGGGAGAAATAACACTGATCTTACACATGCTCCTTCAGATGGTAAACAAGGAAGAATTGCTTCCTAACACATTTAGGAAGGCAGTTTCATGCTATTACCAAAACCCAGCAAAGACTTTGCAAGAAAGGGAAATTATAGACCACCTTCTCTCATGACAATAAATGCAAAAATAAATAGTAACAAAATGTTAACCAGCAAAATCCTGGATTTACATAAGTACATCCAATGCCATGCAGTACCCTGGGTGAGATTCTGGAACAGGCATAGAACACTAAGGAAAAATGAATGGAATCTGAATAACATATGAGTTGTCTTAATAAGAATTTATCAATAATTGTTCATTAGTTGTGACAAATGTACCATAGAGATATAAGTAATGTGAGACAAAGGACCTGGATACGAGGTGTGTAGGAACTCTGTCTATCTTTGCAACTTTTCTGAAAATTGAAGACTATTTTAAAATAAAAAGTTCCTTTACACATACACATGTATGTGTGCACACACGCGCACACACATCATAACCACTACTTCATGGATTCAATTTCAGAATTGCCGTGTGGTTTACAATTTGAAACCCACTAGTTTAATTCACCATATTAACAGAGAAAAGGAGAAACATAACTGTAGGCACTGAAACTTTTTGATAAAGTCCGATACCTTTTCCAAATTAAAAAAAAAATCTCTGAGGGAAACGGAAGCAGAAAGGAAATTGCATATCATAGAAATGATGAGAATTAAATGAGAATGTATCACAGATTTCCCCTTGAAGTGAAAAATGAGATAAGATGACTCCCATCACCACCTCTGTTCCTAATGGAACTTGAGTTCTTAGTTCAGTTAGGCAAGAGGAAGAATTGAAACACTTGGAGATTGGAAAGAATTTAAACTGCTACTATTCAACAGACACAAACTTTTCAGATAACGAGTGACTTTAGCAAGGACCCTGGATACAAGAGAAGCATTCAAACATCAATTGTCTTTCCATACAGCAAGAAACAAGCTGACAATAAAATTTACAAGAAGAATCCTATTTTTCAAAGCACCACAAAATCAATCCCTCGGAAGAAATGTAACTGGATTTGTGCCAGATTTCAACACCAAAACTGCAAAAACACTGTTGAAGACTTAAATACACAGAAGGATACACCATGCTTATAGGTTGTGAGACCCAAGAGAGTAAAGATGTCTGTTTACCTCACGTTAATCTATGAATTCAATAGAATTTCAGAGTCTCAGCAGGTGTGTGTGTGTGTGTGTGTGTGTTGACAACTTGATTCTGAATGCTTTTTGAAATGTAAAGGGCTAGGGATAGCCAGGCCTATCTTGAAGAAAAAGAAAAAAGCTGGAGGCCTTGTGCTCCGAACTATCAAGATTATTTATATAGTTTAATTAATGAAGATAGTTTGTGTTGGATCCTGTGGTTAGGATCACAAAATAAAACACTAGGAGAGAAAGAGTTCAGCAAAAGCCACATAAATCCAGTTACTCAATCTCTGACAAAGTTGAGCCTGCCGTGTAGTGGGGGAAGACACTTGTTTGCATTACATTGTGGTGGCTATGGTAGATCTTTATACACAATACTTGTACTATACAAAAGAAGCAGTTTCAGGTGGTTTGTAGATCTCACTGTAAATACTAAACAAAGTTTTTAGAGGAAAATGTAGAATAATGTATTTGTGTCCTTTGGGAATTAAGACATTTAAAAACAGAATAAAATAGTGCGATCATATAAGAATGAAATTGAGAAATTGGATTCCGTTAAATTTCACAGCGTTTGCTCCTAAGAAAATACCTATAAAACAGGACAAATGCAAGCCACAGATGAAGAGAAAGCATTTCAAAACATGTATCTGCTAAAGCAGCGGCCTCTTAACCTTTGTAGCACCAGGGACCCATTTCATGGAAGACAGTTTTCTGTGCATGGGGAGGGTAGTGGGGGAGGCGGAGCTCCGGTGGTGATGGGAGTGATGAGGAGCAGCTGTAAATGGAGACGAAGCTTTGCTCGCTCGTCCACCCCTCAAGAGCTCTTGTTCATAATACATAAGGAAATTCTGCCTACAAATTAATGAATAAAAAGCAGATCGTGCGGCAGAAATTTGAACAAAATGCTTAAGAGAAATATAGCAGAACATGATATCTGAATGGGTAACAGATGTAAGAAAAGTCATTCGGTGTCATTCTTCTTGATGGAAATGCAACTTAAAACCACAACACGATAATACCACAAGAAATGACTAAATATCCGAAAATAACCATACCAAGTGTTGTGAAGGTTTTTAAGTGTACACAATCCTTTGGAGTATAGATAGGTTCAACCCAGTCTGGAAAACACTTCCACATTATCTGCCAAGGTCGCCTATCCAAAGACTCAGCATTTCTAGTCCTAGGTACGTAGCTAATAAAAAATATCAGACAGGCTCACCTGAAGACGAGGACAAGAATGTTCATTGCGGCACTATTTGGAGATGAAAGCCAGAAACGACCATTATGTCCATTGACAATGAATTGTGGTATATTCATCGATGTAATGGCACACAGCTATGAGAACGAATAATATACAACAACATGCAAGAACAGAGATGAATTTCATAAACACAAAGTAGAGCAAAACAAGCCATACACAAATACAAACATAATGCATGATTTCATTTCATAAAGTTCAAAACAAGGCATAACTAATATATGAGCTTGGAAGCCCATATGCTTCTTATCTGTGGCCTTGGCTGCTTCTAGTAGTGTCTGAGTGGGGAGTTCAAAGCTTTCTTCCAGCTCTGTTTCTTAATCTGGATGCCGATCACATGCTTGTGTGCACTTTGTGAAAAGCCACTGAGCTGTCAACTCGTGATTATGTACTTTTCGTAGCATGTTGAAGTTCAATAAACTTTTTACGTGGAAAATAAAGGAAAACGGTGAGTGGTCTTTAATCATTAGTTCCTTCTGGTGTCATAGAGGAGGCAAGACCCAGAACCATGAATGAATAAGTCAATCGTGGTAAGTTCCTGAATAAAGTGTTTGTGTAGGTACTGTGTAGACTGCAAGGGGAACAGAAGTAGTGGTGAGGGCCAAGATACATAACCCAGGGATTCTTGGAGGGGACCTCAGATGGAGCTTTGTTCAGGCAGGACTGGTTGACAGAGGCTACTGAGTGAGCCCTCTAGTTAAGGTAATCACATCACTGTGCAACCCTAGTTGTAATGGTGTGTCAAGTCTGTGCTGGGAGAAGGGCGGCATTAAGGGCTCATCAGCATTTATATGTTGGTCCAGGAGTTTTGAAACACCAGGCTGAGGGTCCTGGGAAGAAGCTTACCCAAAGGGGTCTTTCCAAGGGCAGAAAACCAGGTCAAGGCCACATTAATATGGGCAAGCCTGTGACAGGTCTGTGCGACCTCTGGGGCATAATTAAAGCATCATTCCTAGTCTTCATTTAATTTCTAGAGCTCTAAAATTCTTATTGCAAAAAATGAGAATATATTTTATTTGTATAGCTACACGACAGGGTACCATTGTATGCCATTTTGGGAGGGCCAGAGGCAGACATAAAGATGGCAGCTTGGATAGAAAAATATCTCCAGAAGAAGTTGTTCTTGGAGTAATGAGACGGTCTAGTGGACTTGAACATTCTCAGTAAAGAATTCTAGACAATGTTGTAACGGTTGGAAATGTAGAAATGAGTTAGTTATGGTTGAATGTGAGGTGTGGTGCTTTGATATCTATAAACAGAAAACTTGAAATCAATAATTTTCATTGCTACTTCATTTTTAGGTTTAAACCCTCGTGAACTACTCATTTATAAGAACTGTACGACCAACTGCACATTTTTATATCACTCTCAAGTGCCTCCTGAAGCCCCAAGACGCCTCAAGACGAATAGTTTCTATTTTGTTCGTTGCTGTGGTGCCATGCAGTGCAATGAAGGAGGACCTAGTACTATTGACCAGGACATAAGCCTTGATAGTACAATTGAGGAGCCCATCCCAGAAGGAACTGTGAGTTTTGGGGAGTCGAAAAGCGTCCTGATCCTTGCCTCTATCATAGTCAGAAACGCACTGACTTGAGAACCGCTCCTGGGAAGGTCTCCTCATCTTCCCCCATTCCTCAGAGAAATTTTGCTCTCCATTGCTCCCTTGTAAATCAGAGACACTGATCCACGGTGCCTCCAGTTGGCCCTCTTATGGTTTATTTTAAGAGAGAAATAAAGCAAATTATTGTTTGTTGAAAACGTTCATGAACATTTGATTGCCTGCATGTACTCAGACACCCATAGTGCAGTCTCTAAGCGTATCTGTTCTTCTCGATTTTACTACATACGCAGGGATTACTTTGTGATTTTAGTACAGTCATGTGTCACTTGATGGGGATATATCCTGAGAAGTTTGTCTATAGGTGATTTTGTCATTGTGCAAACATGGCAGGGTATACTTAGACAAATCTAGGTGGGCATAGCCCGTTGCTCCCAGACTACCAACCTGTACAGCATGGTACTGTACTGAATACTGTAGGCAATTGTAACACAATGGTAAGTATTTGTATATGTAAACATAGAAGAAGTACAGTAAAAATACGGTATACAAGGTGAAAAATGGCACACCTGGCCAGGGCGCTTACCATGACTGGAGCTTGCAGGACTGAAAGTGAGCGGTGAGTGGATGTGAAGTCATAGAACATTCCTGTGCACTACTGTAGACTTTACAGACACTGCACACTTAGGCTACACTAAATTTATGAAAATGTTTGTTTCTTAGATAGTAATCTTAACTTACTGTAACATTTCTACTTTATAAACTTTTTCATTTAAAAAAAATTTTGATTCTTGTAATAACACTTAGCTTAAGACACAAACACATTGTACAACTGTACAAAAATATTTTCTTTACTTATTCTATAAGCTTTCTTTTATTTAAAACATTTTTAGTTCAATTTTTAACCTTATTTGTTGAAAATTAAGGCAAAAACGCACACATGAAGCTAGGCCCACACAGGATCAGGATCGTCCATATCACTGGCTTCCACCCTCACATCTTGTCCCACTGGAAGATCTTCAGGGGCAGTAACACATATGGAGCTGTCATCTTCTATGAGCCGTAATGAAGATTATGAAAACGGAATTTAAAAAATAATTCCATTTACAGTAGTAGCAAAAACAGAGTACTTAGGAATAAAGTTAACAAAACAAGTTCAAAACTTATACACTCGGGGGGGGGGGGGCGAGCAAGATGGCGGACGAGAAACACTGCCAGACAGAGTGTCTCTGCAGAAAAGACAGATTCTAGCAGAAATTAGAAAAAAGAAGCAAGAAGACAAGCATACAGTGGACGAGGGCCGGAAGGAGGGGTACCTGACACCCCGGGAGACTCCACGGGAGGAGGCTGCGGAGGAGAACTGGAGGCTGAGAACCACGCAGCAGCCCGGAGACCAGCGGCAAGGGTAGGTGGATTTGCTGTTTCCCTCCCCTGCATTTGGACTGCTGGTGGCTCCCCAGCGGTGAGAGACCTGCGGACACCAGCCCAGAGACCGCCACCGCCTCCAGCCAGCGGTGAGCCTGTGCAGACGTGCCACCAGGTTCCCAACTTCCTCCGGGCACCTCCGTGTGCACAGACCCGAGCCGCCCAGCAGGCGCCATATTGCGTCCTCCTCCCCTCCACAGACCCTACCCACGGCTGCCCAGAGAGACAATACAGCCACCAGCCAGAGGCACCTCCAGGGAATGGGAGCTTCCCTTTTGGGAACCTACAGCTGACTAAGGGGAACTCAGACTGTGAGCTCCCTACCTGCCAGCTCTCCCAGGTGCTGCTGGCACGGTGTTCCCAGGAGAACGGTGCCGACTCAGAGGCTGAGAGACATAGACCCAGCTTGGGCTCCTTGGGTGAATTGGGACCGGAAATCCTCTCCCTGGTGGGGATACAGTTTGAACTCTGGACCCAGAGGTCGGACCTGCAGACCAGATCCCCTGCACTGAGGTCTAGCATTGCCCGGGGCACAGAAGGGCTATACGTGAACAGCTGCTGAGGTGTGTGTGCCTCCAGGGGCGGATCAGCATCCTAGAGGGCAACCCTCCTCCCATGAGGAGGCTGTGTGCCCAGCCCAGGTGGTGTTCCGGTGCAGGGAACCTCCCCGCCGGCATCACAGTCCGGGGAGGCCTGGTGGCTTGTGGTCTGGCCTGCAGGTAGAGGCCTAGGAGAAGCTGCGGAGTTGGGAGGGTGGAAAGAAGCGAGGCCTGCTCCAGACTGCGGGTCTCAGACAGCCCCACCCCCACACACAGACTTTCTGGCTGAGCGGACCATTCCAGCCCCGTGCTGACAGCTTTTCCTGGAAGCAGAGAACAGAACTTTGACCCCTGCTAACTGCCTGAGGGCAGGCTTACCCAACCCACCTCCGCCCAGAACAAGAGCTGATAACAGGACACAAAATTAACAGCATAGCCTGTTCCTCCAAGCAAACGCCACCTACTGACAGGGACGGCATCTTGCACAGCCTTTCCACGGCACCCACTGACTCAATATACAGGGAGTGGTCCAATCTCACCCACAGACACCACCTAACGCCTCAGGAACTAAACAAGGTGTGTGAATACCCAAACAATAACCTAAAGGAAAGAAACAACAACTGATCGACATGGGAAGAAATCAAGCGAAAATA